TTTGCTTTCCCCCACACTACTCCCCCCCCACACGCCCCGGCCCCCTACGAGGACGTGCCGGCGTAGCTCAGTCCCACCGCCAAGCCCTGCTTCGCTTTCGCAAGAAGGGCGAGGCGTTGGGTTTCCAGGTGAATTTCCAGCACATGGGATGAAGCCATGGAAGCACATGCCCTTGCTCGGCACAAGATCTTCTCCCCCAGCGCGCACATCTCAAGCTCTTTCCGCTGAGCACGCACAGCCCCCCCAAAATCCAGGAGCGGTCCTACAGAGCGAAGCAGATTGCTTTCCCAATTTCCTGACGCCACCGAGCGGATTTGCCACGACAGGACCCGGGGAATCGCTGTTTTCCCCACACAAACCTCTTTCACCTTCCCAGTCCCTGCTCCTTCACGCTCCGGTGGGAAACGTTGCTTCTGTCCTTTCCCCACTTTCATCCCGGAGGAGCCGCAGCAACACCGGCTCAGGCAGAACGTCTTTGGAAAAGCAAAGCAAGGAGCAGCCAGGATTTGGGGGCTGTCACACGGGGCGGTGTCGGGTCAGGGTCCAGGGGGCTGTGTTGTGGACGGAAGGCTCCGGAAGCGACAACCAAGCCTTTGCAGCAACAAGGGATGAGTTCAGCGCTTTTCCTCTGCTTTAGGCGCGATGCTTCCACCCTCCGCTCCTTGGTCTCCGATCAGCCGCACGCCAGAAGGTGCAAAGGGAGCATCAGGTTGACCTCAGAGCTGCTTCTTCATCCTGCCTGCTGGAAACAAACAGCCTCTCCCCGCTCTGCTCCTCCATCCACTTCCATCCCACCCTGCCTTCGGCACTCACAAGTTTGAGGGAATGATGGGAATAAAGCAGCTTGGGGTACGTTACGCACGAACCGTTCTTTCCTCCTGCATACGTGGTATTTAAAAAAAATCCCAGCACGAGCCCCGGTGGTGACTGGAAGTCTCTTAAAGCATTTGTGTGTTTTCATCGGGAAATCCTCCGCTTCTCCCCTTTTGCTGACACTGGGAAAGTTAAACCAGTGCTTGTATTTACACGGCTGCAAAAAATTTTCCCTGACTGCTTCTTAAAAAAACCCTTAAAAAACAAGTGATATATATATATGTATAATATTTACATAAATAAACGAAGAAGGCAAGCGGCCTGCTTCCTTCCTCTTTCCAATTGGCCAACTCTTGCCTCGTTTCCTTTGTTTTTGGCAACAGTAGGTTAAACATCCCGGTGAAAACTGCCATCAGTCCCCTCTCCCCATTTCTTTTTTTTTTTCTCCTCTACATCCAACGATCACTATTGCACCAGCAATCTGTTCAGGAGTCCAAGAGTTAAAGTTGCAGCACAGACTCTCCTTGCCTACTCCCTTAAGCCTCTCAATCTTCCATTAAATCCATTTCTCCATTGAGACTGGATGAGCTTTTTTCCTCCCCCTTCCCCCCTCCCCAACCCGGCAGCTGCTGAATTTTCCACCCCAGGCCGAGAGGCGAAGCCCAAAGCATTCTTGGAGGGTCACTTGGCAGAGTCCTGTCCCGGCCAGCGCCGCGAGATCCGGCCGGCACCACGCTTCGCGTGCGAAGCCGAAACACGAGCGCGTTCCCAACGCTCGCGCGCGCCATCGGAAAAGCAACCGCGGCCCATCCGCAAGGATCCAGTCGAAAAGGGTTAAGTGTGCAAACAGCTGTACATTGGTGGGTGGGTGTGGACACGTTAGAAGCTCACGGTGGGTCCATCCTGCTAAGAGATCTTGCAGTTGTTGCGTGAGCAGTTCTGTGGGGGGCTCTGGGGCGGACGAATGGATTTGGATCTCTTCAAGCTGTTACCTTTGCTGCTGCTCCCGCCTCCGCTGCTGGCCAAGGAATACGACCGGCCGTGCATCATCACTGCGTTCATCCCGTTGGCCATCGAGAAGGATTTCAGGTGACTCTTGATGGTGACAGGCAACGGCAGCTTGTCGATGAGGTGGACCGGGGTGCAGGAAACGATGGCTCGGCAGCACAGGTCCTGTAAGCTGAACACTGGTGGGAGAGAAGACCAGACAGTCAAGGGCTGAGAGATTTCAAGGGCTGCCTTCTCCCTACAACTATTCCTTATGCCGTGCAGTTCCTGCTCCTTTGGGGACAGAAGCTAATAACGATTCCATAGGAGCCCTGAACAGGGAGCAGGTTAGTTAGGACACTCTCTGCACAGTGCCCTGCTCACGTTCCCACCGGACATTGGCCTCTCAGGCCATGGTTTGGCAACCAGAAGGCCATGCCCAGGGAAGGAGGCGACGGTGTCGGCAAGCCCCAGGGCAGGACAGTCTGGCTTGGGGAGGCTGCAGCCGCGGGGCCGCCCGCTCTCTGCAGCACGCCCGCAGCAACAGAGATGCCACCAAGCCAGAAGAAGGCTCTGCCCTTTCAGGCTTCCCGGCGTTCCCTTAGCTCAGCGTACATCATGGGAGCATGCTTTGGGATGTCCGCTTGGAGGGGATTTCCCAGCAAGCAGCCACACGAGGGCACACTTCCACCTCCGGCCCGCCGCGAAAGCTGATCCCAAGCAGGAGCAAGCAGTTACAAGCCCTGCCTCTGGAAGAGGTCCAGAAGACATCTGCGAACGCAGCTCAGATCCTGCTCCCCATCCCTCCACGAGCTGGAGATGGCAGCACGGCAGCCAGGC